TACTTTTCATAAGGCTCCTGGGAAGTGGGGGGCACTGCGGATCTGAGCAAGCACCGTGACTGCCAGGCGCAGGACTAGAAATCAGACCTCCGCACTCCTACATGAGTGCTCTTTCCACACCACGGTGTGAGCGCTCTGTGTGAAAGTGTAGGTTCAAGACCTTGTTTGACCATTGGAATCACCTTGGCAGCTTCCCCCAAATTCCAGTGCCTGCCTGTGCTCCTCCTCACGCCATTGAAATCAGAATCTCGGGGGACCAGGGGGTGGAGGGGGTGGGAGGAGCCTGGGCATCAGCATCTTTAAAGCTGCCTTTGGAAAGACCAGTGCACCCCCAGAGCTGGAAACCAGGGCCACATCTTCCAACTCCCCCAGCTCATTTCCTGGGCACCCCTGCCTTCTTTCTGGCCCTGGCTATCAGATACTGGCCTTGGCCCATCTGCCCAAGCTGTCTGCGAGGTTCATTGTTGCCCCCACCAACCCCTCTGGGAGCTGCCACCCAAGCCCAACCCTCCAAACAGAAGTCCCCTGGGGCCCGGAGAGGAGGTGTGAGCAGGTTGGCTCTGACAGACAGAAAGCAAACAGCTCAAGTGGTGGCAGGCTACATTTTATTCATCGGTAATTCAGATACCCTTCAAGCCCTCTCTTGGAGTGCTGCTCAGAAAAATAAATGTATTGTTTAAGAAACCCTGCAGGCCTGCCCCGCATGCTCTACCCACCCCTCCTGAGAGAACATGAAGCATAGAAAATAATTTGTAAAGCCAGGGGGAGCTTCCCTAAGGAGGAGGGGGAGGGGAAGAGGCTAGAAGAAAGGGGAAGAGGGCTTGGGTCAGGTTAGTGCAGAAATCTCATAGCTCCTCAATGCATAATGAGGCCGGCTGGGCGGGCCGAGATGCTGCGTGAGCCTGAAGGTGCGTGCCAAGCTGCTCCAGGGGCAAGAGTCCAGGCCCGAGTCCACGAGTCCACGCTGGGTTCAGCAGCTCTCCAGCCCTCCCCACCCCAGGGAATGGAGCGAGCGTGTTATATAACCACTGCAACAAAGAGGCCCCAGCAGCCTCTTCTGGGCTCAGCAGTGCCCTAAGCAATCTGTCCAGATGTGCTTTCCAGACAGTGTGCATGTGGAATTGTGCTTTTTAAAAAGAATGTAAAAAGTTACAGTAAGATGAAACCACCTGGCCCACAGCTCTCTGTGGGCTGCCCTCAGCCTCGGTTCCCCAGAACCTCGGGGCTCCTTTGGCCATGAGAACTCAGTCACCCCCTCACCCCACAGCACACAGGAAGAGGGCCCCTGCCAGGAGGCCTGACTGAGGAGTGCAGGAGCCTGGGTGAATTCAGCAGCTATTTGCCAGGGCTTGACTTGGGTTTGGGCGCTGGCTTCTGTGTAAAATACACATTCATGCAACGTGTGCATGGAACTCCCCCAGGCAGAGAAGAATTTTCCAGGCTCTAGATCTCCGGGGAGTTAAAAATGGGAAATCTTTCTTCTTAAAGTGACACAGAATAGGATTTTTCCTTGGGGAATGGAGCTAGCCGCTCTTTGTAAGGCTGGTGTGTGTGTGTGTGTGTGTGTGTGTGTGTGTGTGTGTGTTACTGTGATGTGTGAGGCTCCTGGGCAAATGCTCAGGACTGTCAGGCATTGTCCACAAGCTGAGTGCCTGAGACTGCCCGAGACGTCTGCCTCCTTTTCCAGGCCAGGAGGCTCTGGCTTCAGACATAGGGGCCTGACCTCCAGGCCTGATTAGCAAGCAAGGGCCCCATGGGCGAGCCGTCTGGGGTCAGAAGACCCGGCTATTCACCAAGACCCTCTGAGTGGCCACAGAGGGTGGCAAGGGCACCTTAAGAGCTCATGCCATCTTTGCCCCTCAGCCCCAGCATCCCAGCATTGGAGGGGGTGAGTGTGGGCCTAAGGTTAGGAAGTGACTCCTGGTGCTGGGGGAGTTGTAGACTGCAGTGAGCAGACAGCTGTGGGTCAAACTGGAGACCCCACATGGTGGGAGAGGCCACAGCACCTATGAAAATGGAGCGCTCTCTTACCCTGAGGTTCTGAAGAACCTGCACCAAAGAAGGGGGTCCCTGTCAATGCCACTGTTCCTGGAATGATGGGGAGGCCCCACCCCTGCTTGGCAAGGACTCTGGTTCTCAGTGCCCACCCTAAGCAGGGTGTCAAACAATCCCTTTAGTTGTGGTCTAAGCTCCATTAATCCCCCTGAACTTGGGAGCCCAGCTTTTCCCAGGAAGCATTTCCTGGCATCTGGGGAGCCTTTTGGCCTGAGGTGACCCACACTGATGTACTGAGATGGGGGAGGGGCCAGAAGAACATGGGCGAAAACACACATGTGCCGCTGGATCCTGAGCTGCCCTGGATGTTGGCGGACTGGTGTTCTTCTGGAGGTGGCTTCGAGGGAAGGGTTATTCCCGGCCCCCTCACACCTACGGTTCCTTCAGAAGCTTGTCCAAGCTCCCACAATGGCCTCCTTTCACAGGCAAAGTGTAGAAAAGAAGTGAACACAGCGAAGGCAGAGGCATGCGCATCGTAGGGTAGACTTCAGGAAGCACTGCTGACAGAGAAGACTGCGAAACGGGCTTCTGAGCTGTTCTTTTCTGGAGGCGGGTCCTGTTCCCTTCGGTGGGGATGGGATCCTGCGCAGCCATGTGTGTGGTCACTGGGACCACCTGGACACCTCCTTGGCCCGTCTACCTCAAAGAGCCTTGCCAGCTGGGTCTCAGGCCTTCTGTGCTGTCCCCGGGGCTCACTCCCTCTAGGTTGGCTGCTATTTGCCAGCTATTAAGACCTCACGATCTAGATGCCTCTATCATGGGGAACTCTACTTCCCCCTCTGGATGGCACTGATCCCCAAGTTATTTCTCGTTGCCTAGGTGACACGTCTAATTGGATGCCTTTTAATCTTTCCTTCTTTTAAAGGGATGAATCTGACACTTTATTTCTAGGCCCTGTGAGAGGGCCCTGCCCTAGAGAACGTGTGCCTGGTGTGCAGTCCCTTCAGTGTGACCACAGCCGTCACTCAGACTCCGGGCGGGTGTGGGGTGGGGAGGCAGGGGGGCGGGGGATGCTCAGGAGCTTGCCTGACAGTCACAGTGGATCCAGGAAGCATGGCGCTCCGGAAGCCTACCCTTCAGGATTTAGCAACACTGGCCTCTCTCCTGGCCACTCTGCCTCCTTGGCTTCATCCCCTGTTTAGGGCTTGTGTTTAAAAACCTATTTCAGCTCAAATTAGAAATTACCCAAAGTAGCTGGAGAGTCATTTTTTTTCCTTCTGCCATGAACTAGAAGGGAAAAGGGGAGGCTGACATTCAAGTGTGACTCTTAATAGTGTGTGTGCATGCGTGTGTGTGTGTGTTCCAGACACATATGCTTTCCTCACTGCCAGGGAGGGAGGTTTCGCAGCTTTCAATGCCTCTCGGGCAGACGGTGGTGTGAGGCGTCTGGTGCTTTCTAAGACTTCCTGTCAGAAGCTGTATATATATATGCTGTTGGGTCATACCATGTCTGACTAGACTCTGGCATTTGTCCTTGGGATCATCATCTTTCCAGATGAGAAAAAGGAGCTGAAAGTTTTGTTCCTTCATAGTCCAAGACCTCCTTCCTTTCAATAAAGGAGGGGGATCTGGCCCTCCTCCAGGTCAGTGACCCCCGTGTGGCAGAGGGAGCGTCTGGGAGAACCTGTCCCTCAGCTTGAGGATCATCCAGAGCAAAACTGGAATCCTAAAATTGTTTCCATCTTCCTGTTCCCCAGCTGCCTCCCTCCCGGCTTCCTCCACCTCCAGTACATACTCTGTGGAGGAAACACATTCACTTGATTATCTGTGCGGGCCAAAAAGGGTTTAGAATGGGATGTGCCCCCAAAACATTATGGGCTCTGAAGCCCAATTCTCTGACATGTGTAAAATGGCTGCGTTGGGTTCCTGGTGCCCCCAGGGTGCAGCTGGCAGAGCCCTATTCAGAGAAGGAGGGTGGGCTGGGGCTGTGCTCTGCACCCTCAGGCTCTCTCTAAAAGGGAAAAATGTCGAACTGATCAAGAGTTAAGGAGGAAAAAGAACCCACACTAACAAAGCAGAACCTTGTCTGAGAAGACGCACATTCCTGGTTAATGATGAGCAGCGACCTGGTGGGTGGTGCTGGGGAGAGAAAGCAGGGTTGGGGGGTTCAGAGATACGCCTGGAGCCTCTGAGATCAGGCAGCTGACGCAGAGCTGGGGCTCCTGCAGCCCAGAGCTCCCCTCCCGCAGGCCACCCTGATTTCCTTCATTACAAGTAGCTGCCCTGGGTACTGTGCTAAGAGAAAGACAGGCTGAGAAAGGCCAGCTAAGCAAGCCCCTTACCATTGCCATTTCCAAATCTCGGAAACGCCACAGTCCCCGAGTTGGTGCTTGTTTCATCTCATTGCGTAATACTACACCACTTGTGTGTAGCGGCTGTGCTATATATACACGCCAGGAGGTAACAGATGGCTCTCCCCACCCCCATCTGTCAAAACTGTGACTATATCACTTCTAACGACCAGAAGGAAGCTGCTGGGCTGGGCCAGGATTCTAAATGCTGCGGAGGTAACTCAGAGCCATGTAAAGTTGCACCATATGTTTTGGGGTTGCCGGCTGCTTATGCGCATGGGGACCGGGTTGAATGCCAGTCTGCACAACCCAGGACTGGCACTCTCCTGGCTGCGGTACGCATCGCGTGAGGGTCTGGGTGCCACTTTTTCTCTCCCTGGAGGAGAATCTGCTGGGGGCCACGGTTCTCCAAGAGGGGACCCACAGGAAAACAGGTTCCCAAAAAACCTGCCCCTGATAACATCAGGCCCGTCCAAATAGTATTTCTTCAAAAAAAAATTTTTTTTTTTGGTTTCATTTTATTGGATAAAGATTAAGAAAGCGCCAGCGTCTGAGAGAAGGAAAGCAAGCCACGCCTGGTGGCACGCCAGCCTGGAGGGGGTCCCTGGCGCACGCGGCGAGGCGGACAGACGGACGGGAGGGCGGGCGGGCGGTCTACCTGGAGGCGCTGGTCTCGGCCAGGCGGTTGTTCATGATGCCCAGCGCGCCCACGCCGCCCGAGAAGCCGTTCTGGCGCGTGTTGACGCACACGCTGCGCGGGTAGCCGTTGGCCGTCTCGGACAGCTGCTTCTGCAGCAGCGCCAGCGATACCTTGTTGGAGGCGGTGAGGTCGCGCATGGAGATGAGCTCGCCCGACAGGCGGCGGCCCTCGGTGTCGCTGTCGCAGGTCCCAGGGTCGACGCCGAGCGCAGTCAGGCGGCGGCGCAGCCTGGAGCCCGGGGTGATGGCGTTGCGCCGGGCCAGGGGCGCGCTCGGCGCCGGGCAGCAGCGCGCGCAGCAGCGGCAGCTCAGCTTGCGCAGCATCCAGTTGAGCACCTGCTTGATGAGGATGGAGATGACATTGAAGAGCGAGTAGATGCAGCACACGCCGAGCAGGATGAAGAGGAAGTTCCCCAGGCGGTACAGCCCCTGGTTCCGGTAGGCGGCGTGCTGGCTGCTCACCAGGTCCCCGAAGCCGATGGTGCTGAAGGTGACGAAGCAGAAGTAGAGCGAGTCCACGTAGTCCCAGCCCTCCACGCTGGTGTACATGGCCGAGGCGCAGCAGGACAGCAGCACGGCGAACAGGCCCAGAATCAGCAGCACGTGGTACACCGAGGGCTTCCAGCCCGCCAAGCAGTCGGCCTCCGAGAGAGCAGAGCCGCGGCCGAAGGTGGCGGGCAGCAAGCCGCTGCGGCGCAGCTGGTGCTCCCGGCAGGCGCGCATGATGAAGGCCAGCAGCGAGATGATGCGCTCCAGGAAGAGGTTGAAGAACAGGATGGTCCCAGCGCAGCCAAACAGCCCATAGGCGATAAGGAAGGCCTTCCCACCCACTGTGGCGGGGGTGGTCATGCCGAAACCTGTGGAGACAGGGCAAGGGTCAGGGAGGTCCCGGCTGGGCAGGAGGCCCTATGGGGTGGGCGCTGTGTATATGCAGGTGATGACATGGCTCCTGTCTGGAGTGGTATCACTCAAGTGGAGGGGAATCAGTATTCAGACATTTCTCTCCCTTAGCGGCACTAGACATTGTTTCTGATCTTGGCAGCCCATAAACTGTTGGAGGAGACAGGGCCCCTCCTCTTGGGGATTATAAACCAAAATGGGCGAGGCAAGGTGGTCACTAGGAAGGACCCATCAGGACACAACAGAAACCACTGCACAGATGCAAACCACTGAGATGCCGCAAAGCAAGTGTCACCTGCTCTTCCACCCCTCCAATCGGTTTTTTTAATGTAACAGTGGCACACCTGGGCCTTGTTAGGATAGAATGCCATAAAGGCTTCATTTTATATGGGATTTCTGGGGACCAGGTAGTGTGTTCAGTCCAGGTAGCTATATTTGATGGTCTCTGAAAAGGGGTTTATGAAACTGACAAAGGATTGTTTGAGAAGGAGGCCACAATGGTCAGAGAGTAAACATGGCTGCCGTTGAACGTCAGCTTCTCACCCAAGGACCACGTCATCCTTGCTCACACTTGCCAAGGGAAAGGTTTTGGTCCAATGCGGGCCTGTGCTGTGTGTGTCTGGGGTTGCTTTTGTCTTGGCAGGTCTGTTCTGTGCCTGGGCAGCTGCTTATTTGCTTTGAACTCTTATAATTAAGTCTTAACTTACCCACTTATTCAAAGCACAGTCTGTAAAGGAGATTCTTTATCAATTGATTTCTGCAGAAGGCTCTGCTCATGCCATGCAGGGCCGAACAGAGTGGCAGCTCTGCGCCTCCAACCTGAGCTCTCAGCCTGCTGCTGGCTGTAGTCTCTCTGTGGGACTCATGGTTGCCTGACTCTGGTTATAGGAGGGGGTTTCATCTCTTTGTAGGAAGAGTCGCTGCTGCTTGGAGTCTGAGCTGAAAATGAATCATCTGTCTGAGTAGCACTATGGCACCTGTCAACACCTCTGCAGCAGAGGTCAGAAGTGAATTCATACCCAATGTCAGGAGGGCTACCTGTGCTGCTAGTGGGGTGGGGCCAGCCCCAGGAAGTGTGTGTGGGGTGTGCGTGTGTGTGTGTAGGATTTTGTCTCCCTGGGCTTACTATTTCCTTAAAAGGGTCTGAGAAAATATTTTTTAAGAGTAATTCCTTAAGCCTGTGTGTTAATCATTCTCTAGATTCCCTGGAGGAAATGCCCACTTGCCTGACCGTGGTCTTGATCTTATGCCTAATGACTCAAGTCAGGAGAAAATCTTATGATCATGACCCTCACGTCGAGGAAGATGGATTATATCCCTAGATTTAGAATTTGGCCACAAGAGAATGAAAAACCAAATTAGCAATGTAACCAGGAATTTGATAGAGGAATTTTGCTCCTCTTTAAAGCCAAATTCAAGTTCTTAAGTTCATTAGAAAAAAAAATCACCTGATTTACTTCTTAGGTGCAGGTTTGCTTTCAACGGTTTCAGTTACCCATGATCAACCATGGTCTGAAAATATTAAATGGAAAATTCCACAAATAAAAAATCCATAAGTTTTAAATTATCCACCGTTCTGAGTAATGTGGTGCAATTTCATGCCATCCTGCCTAGGACGTGAATCCTCCCTTTTTCCAGCACATCCACTCTGTATATGCTTCCTGCCCATTAGTCACTTAAGTAGCCAGCTTGGTTATCACATCAACCAGTATTGCATGAGCATCTGTCCTCCTGGATGTCCCTGAATGATGGAACCAGAATGAGACCTGTTTCTCCACCCCCTGTTCTCCTTCTCTACCGAGGTAGGGCCTCTACAAGGCAGCACCACCAGATATGCAGCTGGAAGATCAACCGCCACCCATTCATTCATTCCTCAGCAGACATGTACTGGTGACATAGTTTGGCAGGCCTCATACTAGGCTCAGGGATCTGGTGGAAAACCAGACAGATGCAGTCCCTACCCTCACAGAGTCTCTGGGTTGCCTTCTTAGAGGTTTTGTACAGATGCTCACCCCTCTGCTGCCAGCAGCTCATCCCTGAGCCAGGGCACAGTTTTTCCCTGCTGCCCCCACAGAGAGGCTGGGCCAGAACTTGTCTTGGGGTCTTCCTCATGGTCGTGACCGCAGGCCTAAAATGATCTCAAATGCTTGATTGGCTGTGATTGTGGCACTGTCTGCCCAGAAGTGGGATAGGCAGGTCACAAGGTTCTCTGACAACACAGAGGGCACCAAAGCAAATGTCCCTCTCACTGGCCCAATTCCTGAGTCTGAGCTCTGGGGAAGCTGAGGCCCTGGGGTCAGGCTTCCTGCTGAGGGCAGTGGGGTCCCTGCCTGGATGCCGCTTCTCAGAGTGGAGGAGTGGTCCCCTGAGCTCTGACAATCTGTGGGAGCCAGGCTGGCTTTGGAGAGGGGCCTTGAAGCTTCAGGCAGAGAAAAGACAAACCCAGCCATCCTGAGAACCCCTCCTTCCCCAATCACACCCTGCAGAGGCGTAATCTGTCCCCGGGTTTGCACCAAGCCTGCTATTTTGTTTATGCCACAATTGATCTGCCATCCCACTTTGCAAAGAGCAGACACTTGGGGGCTTATTGTGCTACTTTGACAAAAGCTGTGAAGCTCATTTGCACAGCCTGTCTGGTGCCGCCTTCGCAAATGGGGCCCTAGTGACAGGGCCTCCAGAGTTCAACTCTAGGAATCTGGAATCGAGATGGGGAGGCCAGCTCTGATCTGTTTCGGTGGCTCTAGGTGGAGCCTCTTTGCCAGACGCTGGACACATCAAATCCCTCCAGCCACTCTGTGAGGGAAGCATCATCAACCCATCAACGTAGACCAGGACATGGGCCAAGGGAGTTGAGGGTGCTCCCCCACATTATAGTTTGTAAGTGGCTGAGCTGACCCTGGAGCCCTTCCCACTGTGCCAGAAAACGGGAAGTCTTGGCTCACCACCTCAGGCACCTTGTCCTGTTGGTTCTGTAGTATCAGCTCTGAGGAGGAGAAATATAATTGACAGTCCAATCCAGGGTACTTTTGAGAGTAAAAAGACACTACTAATAATTGCCCCAGAACAGCATGTATAAACCAGGGCTGTTCCAAGCAACTGGAATGCATGATTAAAAAGCAGATTCTGCCCTAGCCGGTTTGGATAGAGAGTCAGCCTATGCACCAAAGGGTCCCGGGTTCAATTCCAGTCAAGGGCAGGTACCTTGGTTGCAGGCTCCCCCTGGGCCCTGGTCGGGGCTCCTGCAGGAGGCAATCAATCAATGCGTTTCTCTCACATCAATGTTTTTCTGTCTTTCCCTTTCTCTTCCACTCTCCCTAAAAACCAATGGAAAAATATCCTCAGGTGATATCTTTCATGCAGATTTCAAGGCAGGTCCCACTCCAGAGGTTTATTTAGGAGGTCAGGAGAGGGACCCAGGAATTTGCATCTAGCAAATGTCCCCTGATGATTCTGATGCAAATGGGCTAAAGCACTTCCTTTAAAAAACAATGTTATATGGTATCCCCAGTGCCCCTTCTGATTGGAATCTGTCCAATTTCAAATATTAGATTTATTGAGATACTAGAGGCCCTATGCACGAAATTCCTGCAAGAGTAGGCATGAAATTCCTACAAGAGTAGGCCTTCGCACCCCTGGCTTCGTCCGGAAGGTTGTCTGGAAGGACGTCCGGATGGTCATTCCGCTGTTTGGCTATTCGGTCAATTTGCATATTATGCTTTTATTATTATAGATCGTAGACATAAAATGGTAAGCTATTTAAAGTGTACATCATGATGCTTTGTTGATCTTTCCTGACTGCCCAGAGGAGGGATTAACAGCCTCACTTTAATAATCAAGCAGCCTGAAGCTCACACCCAAGGCCAGGGCAGCAGCCAGGCCTTCCAGTGCCCCTCCCTCTCCAAACACGGAACAGAGGGAGTGTGGGTGGGCTGTGGGGTGGAGGGTGGAGGGTGGGGCTGCTGTCAGGCTGCTCTGTGGCTGGAGCTCAGACACTGACTCTCAAGGAGAAAAAGGGAGGCTTCTGGCCATGCTCCATGGAGGAGGGCTGGCCCTGAGAGGCTTCCCTAGGACCCTCAGGGCTGTCCATGTCATCCTTATCCAAGTCACTTTCCTGGGGAGGACAACCAGCTTGGATAAATCCAGAACCTTTAGGGAGAAGAGGGGCTGGAAGAATGGCTGGGAAAAGTCATTAAAGCATTCAGTGAGGAGTGAAAATGTGGAGGGAGATAATAGTGGCTGATGGTGTTGAGCCCTCACTATTTCCAGGCACTTTGCCAAGACTTCATGTGTATCAATGCATTTCATCCTCACAACAACTCCGAGCCACTCACTCATTCTAAGTCACAGCTTTTCCCCTTGAATTTTAACATCCCTGAAATCGGAATGGATCTTACAATCGATGGCCTGACAGTTTATTTGACAGCATTTAAAATTCTTAATGGTATGTAGTAGTGGTACATTTGTCATCGATAGTGTCTTAGATTTGATGAATGACACTGAGAATGATTATCACCCCCAATTGTGAGATTAATAAACACAGTCATTTAATAGGTAAAGATACTGAGGTTAAGTAACTTGCCCAGATCATAGAATAAGCAAGTGGCAGAGCCCAGATTTGAAAGTAGAGGAAGGAGCTTGCCACGTGATGAGGGAAAAGCCAAATGCACAAGAGTTGGGAGAAAAAGAAGCAGGTTGCTTCTGGCTGGCACAGCAGTTTTGACTCTGGCTGCACAATCGAATCACCTGGGAAACAAAACTATCCCCAAGGCCCAGGTGCACCCAGACCAGCCTCTTCGTACAGTGATTGGGAAAGACAGAGAGGAGAAGGTACTCGTATTCAGGCCTGAGGGGTGGGTGGTGGTTTGAGAAAGGCGCGCCCCACTGGGAGGGTGCACAGGGCCGCTGTGTGGGGGGTGCGGCTTGGCTGGTCCCCACGGCAGCTTGGGCCTGCCCCACA